TAGACACAACGCCGACGTTCAACTAATTGAACATTTCGTTGCTGCCAATATTTACTTGTCTTAAATGTCATATTAAAATTTGATCGTACTTGATTTACATTCTCTAGATCTGTCACGTCCAAACGAAATGAGACTAACATTGTAAAATATTTCGATAAGACCTTTTCCCATTCAAATCCATCGAGTAAAAATCCAGTACTAATAGACACTGTCAAATATCTTAAGTATGACATTTTATGAAATAAAAGTTCCAAATATTTGTTGCGAATATTTAATTTCAGAATATTGTCTAGTCCAATATTGAATCGTATCAAGTTTGGTAAGATGATTGTATTCATTTGTTCTACTATTGTTTCGTTTTGATCATCTATTGTTAGATGAGAAATTTTAATTGTTTTAATTTGTGATAATGCTGATATAAGTTGAAGTAGATGATTCATATTAATTTCACTTAATGATAGGTACTCCAAACTTGTAGCTTTGAGAGAGAAAGATTCTACACTCAAAGAATACCCAATTGGAAAATGAAGTTTTAAGTATTTTAGAGACGTTGAAGTTGATATGCATCTGAAAGCTGTCTGAATAAAAGGACCAGTGGTATCTGTATTTGACGGTAAAAAATTAATTTTTTGTAACTTGTAATTGTTTGAAAGATGATAGGTGACGAAAGAATTGGTTGTATAAAAGAGAGAATGCATCAGGATCGAAATTAATTAGAATCAATGAATGAAGATTGTTGGTAAGTGATGACAGAGAAAACTTTAACAGAAATTCACGCGGATTTCCGTAAAATTTGGATAGAAATTTTGTAAATATTTCAATTAACAATTCCACAGATAAATCTTCGAATTTTCTCGTTGACGACACACTAATGTTTTTTTATCTCATCCCATACGTGTCCGAACCGTTTTACACTTCCAGAAGTTAGGAATCAAACTCTTTTAGGCAAAATCACAATGAATGACAAAGAAATTTTTCTGCTGTTATTGTGCAAAACTGGATATAAATTATGATTCTTTTATGCTCATACAAAAGTATTGAAGTAGTTGGACTAAATGAACAGTTATTTTGGCAGGAATATGAATTTTCGTACTAGTTAATATCTTGAAATGCATGCTTGAATTGATTTAAAAGCAAAAAAATAATTTCTCAAAGAAAGATGATTCTATGCGAATTGTGGAAGAAAGAACTGTGTGTGAAGAGAAATTTTCGAATTCTTTGGAGTTCATTCTCATTGCTCGGTTTTTCTGTATCGACTGACATTTCTTTTCTTTACACTCGACGTTATTTACGAATGTTTCCAGAGAACAACATTTTATGCAATCTTGAATAATATAAAAATAGACTTTGTCATTACGTTCTCGTGTATGTCGCATTTTTAAAACGTTTTGCAGCAGGTTCCTTACTGTCGTCTGCAACTAATCCAACTTGTATTTCTTGGTTAACTAGTTCTTGTAGCTGATTATTAGAAGACATTCTAGACGACAAATATCACAGACAATCTAAAATGGAGTGTGTAAAAAGAAGTTAGATTTCTTATTGGTGAATCTAACTGTATTAAATTCTCTCGCGCCTACATCATGACTAGCGTAATGGATCAATATATTGTACAAAGTTCTTGTGACAATCATTTTCTTTCTGGTGACAATTGAGTTTTCTTGGTGAAAGGCTTACAAGTTAGTAATTTGAGTAAATGACAGAATAAAGCTTAGTATATGTAGTTGATTAAGATTTTTCTTGTCTCAAAACGATTCATGTTATTTACGGATTGTTTCGAGCGAGAACAGCATATAACAAAAAGTCAAACTCGTTAATAAAACTTGCACAACTGAGCTGAAATGTACATGCTGTTATTTTCTATTTATATGATGATTGATCAAATAAAGAACAAAGAAGAGGACACATTCCTTTGTTGATGACGTGAGAATAGAGTCAAAGAAGCAGCAAGCAAACACGGGTAGATTAACAATAAAGAAAAAGTGAAATAAAAAGTGAAGAGACTGAAGTTAAGGGTAATAATATTCTCTTGATGTAATCCATCTATTGAATGCCTTCTGTGTTAAAAATTCAAATCATGAAGACTTGTTATCAAACCTCGAAGTTGAGATCGAATCATATGCATGCGTTTTAGATGCTGAAAAGAATCAACTGACGTCAACAAAAAAAGCTTCAATCTTCATCGTTTTATCACACTTTTTCTTTGTATATGAAAGCTGCTACTTAGTTGGCTTTCTTATGGAAATGATGACTCTCTTCGTAATCAAGAATTAAGAAATACTATGAGCGTAAATCAACTTATGATTGTTCTACATCAGTGATTCGTATGCTTCGAAAAACCTATCACTTCTGTACCAAAGCATAGAGAGTAAGTCCTGATGTAAAATAATGTATTTAACTATTCAACCTACTGTCATCATACTCACATCCTTATCAATAAAATATTGTTTCGAAATAGAGGACAAGCCAAATGAGGTTTTTACTCAGTTGGTATGAATAAAAAATCTGAACTAATTCAATAGTATTTTTGCGTTCGATAGAATCTTGTTAAAAGAATTGTTGAAGATTTATTGTTCCTGGAAAACTTTATTGCGAAAGAAGAAAAAATGATACTGACGCAAGTGTTGCAACATAATGACGCAAACACTGTGAATCAGCCTTCTGTTTATGCTCTATGATTTTTTTTTGTATCCATCATGGCTTTGTCGGGGAGACGAGAAACAAATGCATGCTTTATTTTTCCATTCTGCTTCTAGACAAGAAAAAAGAAATCGCCGAGGAAGAAAGTAGTGAGCAACTATTTACACGGTTCAAGTACTTTATAAATCGGGACCCTATTTACTTCTACCAATCTTCAAGAGCTTTATTGCAAATTTTAGACGAACAATGTTCTCTTCGTAAGTTATTCTTATCTTTATATGACACGTGTTGTTATTTTGCACAAACAAGAATCTTCTAAATTAGAGCACACATTTATTTTAAGTTGGCTTCCTTTCTATCTCTTCTTTCGCATCTTACAATTTGGAAATATTCAAACTTTGGTTTCTTCAAATCACGATGAAAAATGTTAGAACATTTTCATTCTTGCATTTTTCAAATATCACATTTAAGAAAAAAACAAAAGAATTTTCTCATTTAGCACGAACTGTGACCATCAAGGAATGATTCGAGTCAATGATAGGGTGTCTATTTCTTTTTACAGCAAATATTCGCTTAATGAATAATAGTAATTTATTCGAAATTTGATTTTTAACTTCTATTAGCGAAGGAAACAGTATTACTTAATAGCAACAAAAATATTGAAACTTCGATTTCATCCCTGAGTGCCAATTCATTTTTCACGCAAATTTGGCAATAGTACTCACTATAAGACCGCTCTAAATAAACAGTGACTATGTTTTGATTAGTAATACACAATCACATTTACAATTTGATCATAGTTTAGTCTTCCTTCTAGGATGCGTCTACTGAGTTATACAAATGGATAACCGAAGCGCATCTATTGTAGAAATAATGAAAGGGTAATCGAATCTCTACGAGATCACTATACCGTGCTGTTGTTTTTTTTAAATACTTATGAAGAATTCAGTATAACAGACAACTAATTATTAATAGAATAGTGTTTTCAAAAACAATCGTGAAACATTTTCTTTCGTTAATATTTCGACATGAACTGAATATTTGAGTGATTCAAAAAAATACTCTGGCTGTTGCTATCCATTTATATATATATATAGTGCATCGAAAAAGTATGAAAGCATTTTGTCATGCAATTTTCGATTGTCAGCTAGTTGGTTTACATTCAACTAGACATTTCTTCAATATGAAAATAAACATAGATAATTCCATTTGGAATGTCATCTATTCCATTATTCGTTTATTTAGAGTACTCAACGATCATGATAATGAACGAAAACTATCCGATACTCCGAATTCGAATGGTGGTCGAAAATGTATTTTGTGCTTTCAATTTATTGATGAGGCACACTACAGAAGTCATGTACAGATGTGCTGCAAAACAAAGACGCCTTTGAAGAAGACAAAAACGTGTATCATGTGTTCCAAGGATATTTCAGAAAAAGAATACATCGGTCACGTGAGTGCGTGTCTTGATCAATCATCACATCTATCCCATTTGAAACAGCCAGTGAAAAGTGATAACTATACATGTTGTATATGGTGAGTAAACCATACACATTGAATTATATCGAGGCTATTCTTACGTGTTTTTAATGTGTCATATTTGAGCAACTTGCGAACTCAAATTCCTTTTATCATTAGTCTCAATCGATTGACTGAATCTTGCTTCACTTATAAAGCCGTTATCAATTATGGAGGCACTCATCCGTCTCAGAGAGATTCTCGATTACAAGGAGTTAATCAGTAGGTATAGTTGGTCAAATAAGATCTACTCATCACTGAAATCTTTTTGTGTCTCTTAAAAGTAGTAAATCAGTTCCTTTTGTGAGATAAGCAGTATTAAATAACGAAATTGAAGGAAAACTTTTTCACAAGAGATGTTTTTGAAAAGACTTTAGTTTAGTTTCTATGTGACTACTAAAAAAGTCAGCATGGTTCAGTTTTCCTTCTATATAATTCAACAGTTATTAACGATTTTGTTTCACTTGTAACTCATTTCTTACTGCTCTTTGATTGATTATTTCTTGTCATGAATGATTGACTGTTCTTATAAATGTTTATCATGAGTTTCTTTTTTTTTAAGCAAATCGCCATTAGCTTCCACAAGAACATCGAAACATGTAATGCCATGCAAATCCTATCACAAGTTTTGTATTTCTTGTATGGCAAAGTTGATGAAAGAACATATTAAATCGAAGACTGATCCACGTTGTTATGTGGGTGTGTGTGATTATCAGTTGTCGAAATACGACGTCTCTTGCTTACCACTCGAACAGGATATAATTACACGTTTATTGCCTCTTGTTACTATAGAACGACGCCCTCAATGTCCTCAATGTCTCTTCTATATCGAGTTTCAAACTATGGCAGCATTTCAAAAACATGTGACATCTTGCGATCCAGATCATATGGCTCCATGTGAATATTGTCGTTGTCTATATAACTTTCGTCATTTGGATGAACATTCTCGATATTGTCGCAATATTTCAGTATATCAACAACGACAAGCATTTATAGATTTTATCTTACCAAGATTAAAATATCCTTTTACACCAGTGCAAGTTCGTTTTTACATCGAACGACAAAAACAATATCAACAGATGCTTGATTCACATAAAATCATTGATGCATTGGCTACATTCGGTACGTTCTCTCATGATGTTGCAGATCAATTGATAGAGTTTTCGCAATTGGTCACTTTCTTTGTGTACCGAGTCTTTCACATAAGTTCATTCTGCTTAGTTTTCAGTTGAGAAAACTCCAAGGAGTTTTTTGCTTTGAAATCTATGGAATCATTTTCAAAAGTAAACAAAACACGCTAGTGAAACTTTATGACTAGAACGCGAAAGAAATAATCGAAAAAAAAGCTCAATTAACGACCGTTTTGATGAATCTAAAACACTGATCACTGTTTTTCTTAATTTTGAGTACTCATTTTTTTTTCAATTCTAGAAGATAAATTTCCATTCGAAGTGCCTACTCTTGATTGTGGTGTGTGCATGGAAGCATGTCCATATGAAGATATTTTCGTTTTCGGCTGCAAGGATGATCATAAACTGTGTTACACTTGCTTTGAACAATCATGCACAACTAAGATGAATAGTAATGAAGTACTTACGTGTGGTTTATGTAATTATCAATTACAGGATGGAGAAATTAATCAATTGCGAGTACCTCGAGATCGGAAGCGAGTGTTTCATGAGTATCAGATACAGAAAACATTTAATAATCTTGTTAACAATACTCGTGGCTTTATCAGATGTCCAAATAAAGATTGCAAATGGGTATTAGAAGCGCGTAATCCAGATGAACGTTTTAGAGTCGTTTGTCGTTGTTGTGCCAACGAGTTTTGTTCGATTTGCAATCAACAATATCATTATCGAACAACTTGTCAGCAAGTAACACAAATAACGCAACAATGGTCTGTTTGGTGTAATACAGGTAACTAAAAGATAATTTGATCAGAGCAGATTGAACTTACTTTTTATTTTCATTTTAAAGAACGCGGCAAGTATTTGAGAGCTCGAGCAGGACAAGATGCAGCTTATCAAGCTCAATTAGATGATTATGAAAGTCAAAAAGCGGCGAATACTCAGCGAAACGAAGAATTACGTCGTCGTTACGATGAATTGAAAGCCGATGAAGATTTAAAAGCTAAATCTTGTCGTCTTTGTCCACATTGTAAACGAATCGTGGAACGTGTGGCGGGATGTAGTAGTATGATATGTGGACGAAATTATCATGGAGGTGACCAACAATCAGGATGTGGGAAAAATTTTAATTGGGACACTGCTGAACCTTACATACCAAGCATGAATGCGGCTGCTGAAAAAATTAAAAACGACCTACCACATCCAAAAAATAAACACAGAGTAGTACATAAGGGCATAAGGTAAATAGTTTCATATTCTTAGCCATAGGTCTATGACAAAATGATTTTTAGGTGCAATGGTTGTAACGATGAGATTGAAGGTATTCGTTTTGATTGTATTCATTGTTCTTCATTGAATTATTGCGAAAAATGTGAACAACGATGTACATTGAATCATTCCGAAGAACTTCGACAACAAAAAAGACAACAACATGTCTTTCGGTTGATAACGATTCCCGAAGTTTCACCTAAACGACAACGACATTGAATTAAACAATCGAAGCAGAATTTTTCGATTGGATGTTCTTTTTTTTTTTTTACAATGATTTTGATTGAAAAACAATTAATCATATTTTTTTTGTACTCGCCATTCAGAAAATGTCTATGCTATCAATGTCGTTCAGTTCATAATTTTCACACAAAACAAAAAAAAACAGTTAAATTTGTCTGTAAACTATTTTTTCTTCTTATGGTAATATTCATTCTTTTGAACATGTTAATATCATAGGTACATGACTAATTTTATTATACGTATGTTCATATTTTTATCTATATAACACTTCTTTAATTTTTCTGTGCTTAAATCTCTTCTTCCTTGCCAGTATTTCAATTGATTAATAATCTGTGTAGTTGTTGCGATAAGAAATCATATGATCAACTGAAATACTTCTTTCTTTTGTGTTCAATCATTTTGTTGTTGTTTCACATGATCATTAACTTTGGGTTTCATTGGCTCAATATATATATATATTTGTACACTTTTTGGGCAAGTTTATTTATAAGCTGTACCAATATTCTTTGTATTAATAACATTGTATTTTTTTTTCTTAAATTACTTCGAGATCGTTAATCTTTTTTGAATCTAAAAATTATATGTGCTGTAGGATATATTGTCTCACACATTTTACTAACTTTTGGCTATGACATTTGCATCGATTTCATAAGATATTGTTAAAATGAAAAATAACTTCTCGTCTTGCTTTAGATGTCTTTTTGTTTGCTTTCTATCATAATTTTCAATTGAACTTTTAATTTTCTTTTAACTCAATTTGTTGCAAAAACCATGTTTTGTCAATGATATATTGATGTAATCATACGCCTTTTTCAATAAAAACTGTAATGAATAAATATTTCAAGCACCTATTGTTCATATTTTTATTAATTTAACTTCAGATTTCTTCGCTTGACAACTACCCATGTCAAGGATGTGAATTAGGCGTGTTAACTGAACGCCCAAATCTACCCCCCGTCCATCCAGACCTACACCTATACTCACATTCCAGCCACATCCACCACACACTCATACACCCACACTCACATGCCTACACTCCACACATTCACATTCAACACTCATGCCCCATATCCACTCACACTTCCACACACAATCTTTTCGTAGGCATCGTGTTAAATAATTGATAGATCGACACGAGTCGTATCTTTTAAAATGGTTGTTGTTTGTTAAAAAGAATTAATAGGAAGAAAAAGAATACAACGAAATGCATACCTTTTTTCTTCCTTTTTTTTTCTTGTGTTCACTGATTTAATGCTTTTTTCTCTTTTTATTTTTGTTCTTTCTCTTTTTCGTATTCTTTTGTTTTTTATTCCTTTAATATACTTATAAGCGTGTATAAATAATTATCTAAACCATGTTAGTGCTGAATTTTGTACGCTTTGTATAAATCATGTCGTTTCGAGCTTGAATATTTTCATTTCTGTTCAATAATCATCTATCATCATGTAAGCACTTCTGAGTGTAAAATTATCAAGCAAAATAAAAAAATGAATTAAAAAAAAATATAGAAAGAGCGCGATAAGAACAGAACACAAAACAATATAGTGACTCACTTCGAGTCATAGTGGGAAAAAACCCATAAAAGAAATAAAAGCATGGTTTTTTTTCAAGTAAAAGAAAAAAATATATACAAGTTTATATCGTGAATATTTCTTCATAAAAAAAACACAACTCCTTCCAACTTACAAACTCTAACCTTCGAATTTAGAAAATATGGTAAGCTTTTTTTAAAGCCTCAGTTTGTATCATTACTTTTATCTACCTTTTTCACCGTCTCAGGCTCAGGCCAGTTCTCGTCAGAACTCTTACGTTCCAATTCCTTTTCCAAGATGTGGCACTCCTAATTCTGGAGACTTAATTGAATTAGTCTTCGATAAATTCAGCCCACGTCCACATTTTATTGTGCGACAAACAAACGGAAATGTCCACGAGACGACAATGTCAAATGAAATCGATAAAACAATGCTACTTGTAACAAATTTTTTACAAAACAGGCCAGAATATGACAACCAAGCTGTAAGTATTGTCAAGTCTGCTTCGACAGAAAGCTTGTGTGAGCAACAGGTTACTGAATATCTTGATTTTGAATAACAAAGATTGCAGTTTCAACTAGATCTTCAAAAACCGAGTTCTTGAATGAGTAGACTTCTTGCAGAAAATGCAGTGAGAACGAGATAAAAAGACACACTTTGATATCCAGCTGCTTCTTTAAAAAAAATCAAATGTACTAAAGCCGCCCGAATTTTCAGGTTAGACTGAGTGCATACTTATAGTTTGTAACTTGAATTAACTTTTCTATCTGGTAGAAATAGAAGAAAGTTTTGACATCACGATATCCTCCGTCTCAAAAAGTATTCGTCCGTTGAAAGAATATCTTTTGAATGACTAAGAATATTCTTGCTGTATTCCTTTACTTATTAGATTTTATCATTTCATCGCGGTTGCTGGTAAGCGTAGCGTGATTAAAAGTTTCGAAATAAGAAACAAAAACGGCTACTATCGTTGTATTTCTCGCTCTAGGTATCAAGAACACAATACTCCCTGGCATTGTCATTTATGTGTTCCAATGGAAGAATATTGTCGTGAAGCAAAAGCAGAAAAGGAAGTAAGTTCTTGTAGATATTGTAGAGCGAAAGACGGCAAGATGACTTACCGGGCGCATAGTATTCGAAGCGTCCAACTTTCGCAGAAGAACATAGAGACACACCCACAAATAACGAGAAGATTTGAGGGAGGGTATGCAATTTTCAGAAAAACTTTTTTTTCCGTTTTTGTGCTCGCGCAGCAAAAAAATTTTTTTCATCCGCCCTCAAGAAATTTTTTTGCGACTTACATCTTTCCAGATTAAGCTTTCTATTTGCCGTCCTGCATAAAGACAACTACGGATAAAGCTGCTATTTCCTCTGAAATATGTGAAATGAAATATGTCAAATTTCTTTATCTATTTTACGACTTTTCTTCGTAGCTTGGCGATGCCTATGTGAAAAGTGTTCAAGTTAAGTTACAGAACAGTAAACAAAAATATAATGGGTATAAACAAAAAACCGTTGCAGCTGTGAAAAGTTTGAAAAGCATTTCATTCAACCTGAAGTCTTATGAGAAAAATGGTTTTGGTCTTGTTTGGATGACGCCTGATCCACGTATTGGCGTCTACAGTCAACAGCCACAGAGATTACGTGCACTTTACGACTTTATGCTCAATGTTAATCAGCAGATGGAAAACGCTCTATCATCGAAAGATAAATCATTTAATAATTTTGGTTGTCATTTCTGTCTCTTTGTCAGCGCTAGCAGTGAAGGGAATACAACATCTCGTCAATGTACCGTGTTGAATGAGATGGGTACAACTGTGCAAACTCAAGGACTTGTTGGCTATATCCAAATGGATGATCAACAATATTATCAGCTGTTACCGGATGAAAATCATAGAGAGACGTGGTTCAATGAGTTCAAAAAAAATGATTTTCTTGTTACAACGTAACTTAAATTTATCGCATTTTATTTCTTATCTAAGGTTGAGTCGTTTCCATTAAAAATTTTCTATTTAATAAATTCAGACATTTAACAAAGCCATAGTACCGAATTTTCAACTTTTTAATGTAACAGATTTTTTGGTCATATACTCGCTTTTTCTGCTACTGCACAAGATATCACCAACCTGCTAACTTGTAAAGTAGAAAGCATAGGTATTGAATGCAAAACTACTTAGTCGTATCATTAGCTTTTTACTTTACTGACGCCTCTCTCTTTCGACAGTTTGATAGAAAACCTACTTCAACTACTTTGGACAACCTTTATAAAACAGACGAAACTTAAATTGGAATTCACAACGTTCTCTCTCAATAGATTGAAATCTGGATTGAATTTGAATTATTCTTTTTACCATAACCAACCTTAATTTCATCTATTCCATTCAACGTTAAAGCACACATAGGAGTCACTGCACGAGAGAGACGACCGAATACTAATATTGCTGCTCCATCGATAGTTTCAGATTTTGATGAAAGTTATCCAGTTTTGTAGAGCATATTTTTTTAGGTATATAATCAAATTTTTAGACTTAGAGGTTGAACTATGACTGAGATATGCTCATCCGACTAATAGCACCCAAAATAGTCTTTCTTCGATACAAAAAATTTTTGATTAATCTCTTGTATGAGCTATTTTGACGATATCTTGTCACCAGTACTATCTTCAAAACATATGACTGAATTTTTTGAGATCATTACTGATTCTCTTATATATTAGAGTCAAAAGTAACCTATCTTCATGATAGACTTTCTCTTTCTTGAGATCAGCGTGATAGAGTTTGCTGATTTCTTTTTCTCAAAGACTACTAACTTAGCACTACTTAAATATGCAATCCAAACTTTGGAATCTTGAAATTTGCCTGGACAAGTGTTAACAGCAAATATCACTATTTTGTTTATAGTATATAAGATCATATGGAGTCCGGGTGATTTTCATATAATTTTAACAAACAAAGGTTGGTTGACATGAAACTTTTAGAAATCACACAGGATAAAGGTAGTAGTTACTTCTGAAAGTTTTAGCTTGATCGGTGAAACTTTTATCCTATTTTTCCTATTTTGATGTTCTACTAAATAGGCATCCTCATGATCTGTGGGATTCAAGATAATACACGTTCTAACTTATCAGATTTTGACTGATTCTTTACATAGTCAAAAATTATATATTTAAATGAAAGTTATTCCATTTTGCAAAGCACATTTTTTTTAGATATGTAACCAAATTTTCACACCTAAATATTGAGTTTTGACTGAGATATAATGATCCGATTGATAGCACTCAAAACAACTTTCTCTTAATTTGAGATATTTTTGAGCAATCTTTGACGTGAGATTTTTTTTAACGATATCTCATCACCATTACATGATAGAATTCTGAAAATTTGACTGGATATATATTTTGAGACGGGAAATACAACCATCATATTGAATAATATTTACTTTAACTATTGATTGTTAACAATACTGATCATGTCTCACAAAATATGTCGCATGTAACCTAATTATTCTGCTCGTTTAAAACAAATACAATGGCTGTGGTGTTTCTCTGTTCAACAATTGTGGCTTCTAGTAGAGTTTATGACCTTGGCGTATCTTTGAATACGAATTAGCATAAAATGTGAAAAATAAAAAAAAAACCCAAAGACATTTATCGTGAAAAATATGTTTTTTTTCAAAATACAGGTGACTTCATCAATGTACCGATTAAAGTGAATCCGTTTGAAATATTTTTTTTCCGATGGAAATCAAAAACAAATTCAAACTTTTTTCAAAGTGATTCATGCATTAACAACTATGTGAATATTTTTGTTAAAAGAAATCATTCAATGTTAAATTAAATCGACTGAACGACGTATCTCGTTTTTTTTGGGGAGTGAGTGTGAGTATTAATATTCACTTGGCCATACACACATCCACATCCTGTATAGAATACAGTCTTAAATAGAATATATTTTTCTTTATTTCAAAAAAAAGGTAGAACGAAAAAAAAACATTATCTAATGTTTTAATTCTATAACAAAAAAGAAAAGTATTTATTATCGGTACATAGTCATATACACAGAAGAAAAAAAAAAGATTATCGATAGCAATTATTTATGAGAAAAAAATATATTTCACATATGTGATAAACGTTTTTCAAGATTATTTAATTCAGACCATATTTCCTTAGGTAAATTTACATTAACATTTTCTTCAAAATATTTTCGTATATCTTTACATTCATTCATCCAAAATTCGCTTGAAATTTCTAATAACATTGGATTTATTTCGTTACCACGGATACCATTTGAATCCTTTTGATTAGGTATGAAACCAATTGGTGTCTTACATGCTGAAGCTTGTTGAGTTAGACGACGAAATATCCAATCAATAACACGAATATTTTCACCAAAACCTGGCCAAAGAAATTCATTTGTTTGTACATTTTTAAGAAACCAATTCACATGATAAATTTTCGGTAAATGAACATTCGATTTTTTACCAAATGATAACCAATGTGATAAATAATGACCAAAATTATAACCAAAAAATGGTCGCATAGCAAATGGATCATGCATGATTTGTTTACCTAAAAGAAATAAAAAAAATCAAAATATTCAATTTGATTTTTATTTTTATTTTTTTACCTTTAAATTCTGCAGCAGCTGTAGCTTCCGATCGCATACTTGAACCAATAAAAACACCATGTTGCCAATTAAATGCTTCATAAACTAATGGTACACCTCTAGGTCGTCGTCCACCAAATATAATTGCTTCAATAGGTACACCTTGTGGATTATTCCATTCCGGATCGAGTATTGAACATTGTTTAATAGATGTACAAAAACTAGGATTTATTTATGATGAGAAGATGTTTTTTTTTTTTTTTTTTCGTTTCTTACCGACTATTAGGATGGGCAGCTGGTTCACCTAAATCAACTGACCATCTTTTATTTTTCCATGAACGTACTATTGTTTCATGAAGACCATCTGTTTCATTATCGATACCTTCCCAATAAACATCACCATCGCTTGTTTCAGCAACATTTGTAAATATTGTATTTTCATGAACCATATCTAAAAGAAATATTTTCTGATAAAGAATAACGTTTTTTTTTTTTTGTTCTTTGCTATTTACCTAATGCAATTGGATTTGTTAATTTACTTGTACCAGGTGCAACACCAAAAAATCCAAATTCAGGATTTATAGCTCGTAAACGACCTTCGTCATCAAAATGCATCCATGCAATATCATCACCTAAAGAAAAATAATTTTTCTTTATACTTTTAAAAATCTTTATTTACTTACCAATACATTCAACTTTATATCCAGGAATTCCCATTGGACGAAGCATAGCTAAATTAGTTTTACCACAAGCACTAAAAGAATAATTACAAAATATTAATGTTTTTTTTATTAAATTAACACTTTACCTGGGAAAAGCAGCAACAAAATATTTCTTAATACCCTCAGGATTTGTTACACCCATAATCTAATTATTAATAGAATACAATATCTCTTCTTATTTATTTATTTTTTTAAAATTATTGCTTACAAGCATATGTTCAGCTAACCAACCTTCTCGTTTTGCTAATGAACTTCCAATACGTAAAGCTAAACATTTTTTTCCACATAAAGAATTTCCACCATAACCACTACCAAAACTAATGATTTCATTTCGTTCAGGAAAATGTGTAATTAATGTTTGTTCAGGATTACATGGCCATGTTGGACATATTTGTTTATCTGTTGGTAATGGTACACCAACAGAATGAAGACATTTAATAATATCTGAACCATCAGATGTTTTAATTTCTTTAAATACATTTGAATTCATACGTGTCATTATACGCATTGATACAACAACATATGGTGAATCAGTTAATTCTATAGCAATTTTTGAATATGGACTTGAATATGGTCCCATCATATATGGAATAATATACATTGTTCGACCACGCATACAACCGTTAAAACGTTCTTGAAGAATTTCTAACATTTCATCAGTATCCATCCAATTACCTAATGGTGTTGTTTTGAGATTTTTTGGTACATTTGGATCTGTTATTGTTGAGAAACCAGATTTTGGTATTGAAATAATATCATTCATATTTTTTGTACAAATAACTGTGCGAGATTCAACACGAGCTACATCACGTGGATCTGTTGTAGCAATATAACTAAAATGAAGAAAATGAATTTGAATTTATTTTCTTATCGATTAAATTAAAAATTATTATTTTTTTTGTTTTTTACCAATTTTTATATTTTTTAAGACGTCGGATAACACCCGATACTTCCATAGCATCAAGTAATTGTTGATTTTCTTCATCACTTCCATCACAAACATGAAAATTTGATGGTTGACATAATTTGATTTTTTCTTCAACATATTCACGTATTTTCGATGGAAGAATATTGAGATTATTATTAGCATGTAGAAAAGCTTCCATTGTTTTGTTTTTTACTTGATGATTGAACTATAGAAATGAATAATAAAAAAAAAAACATAAGTTTGTTATTTTTTGTATATTTTCTTTCATACTTTCAATATTAGTACTATTATTATGCTACCATCAAGGGTAGCAACATCATCTTTATTCAAGTAAAACAAAAGATTTTTTCAATTATTGAGAAAGAAAAAAAAACAACTTGGATTGCTATTATTTTAATAGGAATGGAAAATTATGCACAGAAGTTTAATGAGAACACTAAAAAATCTTCGGTAAATCTATTCGAAAGAGTTATCTAGACAATTTCACATATAGTAAAACCTCGTCTTATGTTGGACATCCGATAGATCACTCAAGCAAGTTGTTCGTCTCATAGTAGCAGTACCAAATTTTTTTTTATCAAAGGATTACTCAATGAACCTCTTGAGGTGTCAAATCGCTTTAGAATCGAAATTTTACTAGATCTTTCAGCTTAACATTTCTAGTATATCCTATTCTGGAGATATAAATATGTGATCGAAATTTGCTTTTACACATGAGAGAAATTTGAATATTGAATATTTCGAAATAGGATATACTAGAGAAGATAAAAGCTACACAATTAACTAATCTCCTTGAGAATTTTGCTCATGTATTAAATTTTTATTTTCTTATTACTCATTAGTACTCATCATATGAACACTAATACATCCTTTATTATAAACGATAGACGCTTATTTCTGACCCTATGGGCAAGATATAGTATATGACTCATATGCAGAACAAAAAAAAAATGACATTACTAAAAACGAATACCGAACACATAGGATTGGTCGTAGATATTTACAAGGAAAACCTCAATATTTGACAAATACAAAAATACTTGATTTATCTGTGATTGAAAACTTATTAAAAAAAAATGAACACGATCATCTTTTATAAATGAATGATGACTGCAACTAAGCAATTGCAGATTGCAAAAACTAAAACACTCTAAGGATTCTAAAGATTGATCAAAGTTTTGTATTATCGAAGTGTAACCATGTCTCTAAATTACATTCTTGTTGGACACATTTCTTAACTGAAGCTTAGCAGATTGAAGACTGTTATTCACTACTATATATATATATCATGCATAAAATAGATAGATGACTTGTATTTCTCTTAACCTTGAAAATGTTAGTTATTTTTTTTTAATTTTAATTTAATTTAATTTACATTGTCGACGTGAACAATGTAGTGCTGCATGTCCAACAACTGAAATAATTGAACAATCTGCTATTTCTACTGTTAGTCATAGAGAAAAAAAAAGCAATTAGAACATCCTACTAATATATCAAAAAATAAAAAATATACAAAATCGAAAAAAAAAATTTTTATGTTTACAATTTTATTTATTGTTATTATAATTATCAACGTGTTATTGCTCTTATCATGATTATGATTGCTATTATTATTATTGTTTGTTTTTTTTTTCTTTCTCTGTCTTCAATGTAGAAAAGAAATCATTTTCGATCAAAAGACGTTATTGTCTGATCTTTATGGTGTGTCTATGTGGTTATCTACTCTTCTTTTTTATGTTAACAGAAATGTGTTCTTCTACTTTTTTTTGTTTTTTTGGGTTTCTTTAAATGTAAAACATCAAAAAACAACAAAAAGAATATGAGAATACATACGCTTATGTATTGTATCCAAGTATCACTTACTTATTGTGATTTAATGTTATTGATTATGTTGTGATTATATTCATGTAGAAATGTTCGAGTTTATATATAATATATAGAGGACAAAGTACGAAAAGTAGAAATTGAGTATTTTTTTTTCTTGTCCATTATCTCAACTAAAAATAACCGGAGTATGGCTGTATTGGATTTGATATATTATACTTTGGCCTTGCATTTTTATTGGTTAATATTGAAAGGAGGTGTGTCATGAGATATGAAAATTTCGTATATCTATTATTTTTGAATCACACTCCAAAATACACATTTCGAAACATGTGATCACAATTCGAACGATGTAATATTCTTTTGATCTTATAATAAAGCAATAGATATTAGTCATTTTTGAATTAGAAATGTTTTGATTCTTGAAATCAAACTTAAAAAAAGTAATTATTTTGATTTTGTTTTTTTTAGCTATACAACACCAAATAGAATATAAGTTGATCGAAATTCACTCATTTATATGTAAAGAACTTATTTATTCAATAAAGTAGAAAATATGAATTGAAATTTGAGCAATGTATAGAAAAAAGAAATTAGTGATGAGAAGATAATTATAAGTTTCAAAATTTCTATAAATGAATATTCACTTGTTACAAATAAAATATTGCACGCAAAGTATATTTAAAATGGTTATATATCGTTTCTTGTTCTTTTTACAATAAATAAGCTAAGTAAATATAAGATAATACAATATTTTTTCAAGGCATTGTATTGCATCACCATCGTGTCAAAAGAATAAAGACACAAAGTAACTTGAATCATATTTTATCAAAATAAAAATAATTCAAGTATAAAAAATTTATCCTTAAAATAGATTTTTTTGTTTTTGATAAATCGAACATAAATAATCAAAATAATTGTTTAATATTTTGTACTATTTACAATCTTGTTGAATTTCAAAGTGCTACTTTTGTTTTTTTTTTTTTTTTATGTTGGAACGTCATCAAACTATTCACATACATGTTCAAGATGATACACAATTTCTTTGTCATTGAAGTTTTCTTTATCAAAATGAAAATTGAGTTCTTTTTAGTAATAAAAAAAAGTTCCTAAATTGACTTCAACAATGAGAGTATATACAGATTAGACTTTGATCAAAGGATAAAAAAACGCTAAAAAAAGAAACATGATAAATACATAGAAAAGAAAGAAAAAAAATATATATACGCATATAGAACAAAACGAAATAGGTAAGCATGTGTCGGTACTCGAACACATACCTATTGAAAAAAGTAATGTATCGAATAAAATAGTGACATAGATTGTTAGAAATTTATAATCAAACGTATTCATATTTTATAACTATTTGATTTAAAATATAAATATATTGTTGACATAAAAGTTCATCAAAACGTTGGAGAAATTATCGGTGTTATCATAAAGAAATTGACATATGATTCTAGATATCATATCACATCATTTCTTTATCACTTGTATGGTAAAATGATTTATATGACAATAGGCTAGCATACTTTGAATTTTCATTTCATACTTACATCTGACTCTTAATTTTTATAGCCACAAGAACAGTGTTGATATGGATATACTTTTCATGCATACTCATCCCCATACCCTTACCCTAGCTCTTGCACAGACATATACACGACTGAGTCCAATCTTTGTGGTTTTTTATGAAAACTTTCTAAGATGGAGGGCCGCTATGAATAAATGTTTCCATATTCCATCGTTAGCGAGACGTATGTGCAACAGAGGAAAATCAATGTCGATAGACGACTTGCAAGATAAGCTTTGTCTTTCATGTCACGTATTGTTTTCGTTTTTCTTCCTACCCGCTTCAGGGTGTGAGCATGTGAAAGGAGGAGGGGCAGATGATGGCATTGGTTTAAATTTAGAAAAGATCCACACCCCTTTTTACGAGTAGTGTCTCAGAAAACTCTTTCTTGTATATAGTTGATGGCATCACATAAAGAAGAAAACGAAATGTGAGAATGGCTTGAGGCAAACTAGAGAGAATGATGGTCATGAGTGTGACATAACGCTCTTTCTAAGTTTAAAACTGTTTTTTAAATCCTTGGTCAAATGTCATCTTGTTTCTTATCGTCTTCACTCGACTTCGCGTAGTCAGAATAATCAAGAGAGTAATAAAGGTAATTTGAATGAAGAATGGGAAGAAATAGTGAATGAGAGTAGATATTTGATTGTAGGTCTTGATCAAGTAGCTGTTCAAATTTATCACATAGACTGATGAATCGATAGTCAAATATTCAATGACTATATAATAGACGATATCATGAACATGCAGACATCTAGAAGAATAATCAACGTTACAATACTAACTGCAACAGCCAAATATGATTTTTTTGAAACAGGTAAAGTTAAGAAATGAATAGTGAGAAGTTGATCGATGGTAATCCAACTTGTCAGCCAATAGGTCGCTCGTGTGAATACAGAAAGTATTCTAATTATCAGAATGAAATACGAAGAACTTATCTTCAATATTGAAAACTCACCTTGGCTTTCACTATTATTTTCTACATGCATGAATTAATAAAATACATATATGTGTTGATCGGTTTTTGTGTAATAATAGCAAAATGAATCGAACTATTTACATGAAAATAATTCATTTCTTAATGACTAGTAGAAAACTTTTAAAGACATTCTGTTTTGACTGAAAACTTTTTTCAAATGTTATTGCTATCCTCTCGAAGAAAAACAACCTCAATTTTCTGGATTAATTAGTTGCTTCGAAAAAATGTTGAATATTTCTTTAGTTTTCTTTTTCTGATGTTCTACTGTTCAACATGATTAACGTTTGATTGATTCTTTGAATTCTTTACTGCATAACTCTCAAGGCAGAACAAAAATAATTAAAATAAACATTGATAGAATGAATGATATGAAATAACCATGGATCTCGAGATGATTTTATACAGCTTGACATCAGTGAGGTTATAAGACGTGGTGAAGATAAAACAACGATAGGAGGATATGGGTATGTAGGGTGTGGATATAGGTGTGAAGGAACTGAAGCCTTAAACTTGCACTTATACCCACACTCATATAACAAATAATAATAATTTATTTGTCGGATATGTAGTAGCGATATTATAGTCGAATGATAGAATTACATCGTTGTGTGAGACTAATCGATGTAGATATATAATGACTTGCATCTTGTTAAACAACGGCTAAATAGTAATTATCTATAATTTTGATAAAAACCATATGAAATAGTTTTCGAAATGTAGAGCATACAGTATTCTGACAATAAGCCAACTTTTTAACTATAATCCAGCTTGATGGTTGTGATTCGTTGGACACTGTACTGAT